TATATATATATATATATATATATATATATATATATATATATATATATATATATATATATATATATATATATATATATATATATTATATATATATATATATATATATATATATACAGTATCTCACTGTACGTCCTTCCCCAGCATACGTAACCCACACCAGATACATGTCTTACATTATTTAAGGATTGTATTACCTTTAAGAAACATTTGTTTATTATCTAAATGAAAAATGCCCTGAGAAAGATTGAAGAAATGTTAACAGAAAGTTCAGCTGCCAGTCAGCCAAAACAATAGTGATGGTGCTACACCCTGGTGGCAGATCGCGACAACACCAAACATAACAGCTAAAAATACGAGTTTCATATCTTGTAGGTAATTCTCTTGACCAAATATAAACAAGCCACACAGCTGCTCTGATCTGAAGTAGAGTTGGGTTAGTATAATGTTACTATGTATGATTTCCTACTTGCTTCCAGTATATATTGTATTTACATGCACATGCAATATTGTAAAATAGGGGTGCGTCTTACATGCCGGCAAATACGGTGCACTGTATGTACACACATATATATACATATATATATATATATTTTTTTTTTCATGTAAATCCAATAACAAAAAACGTGATATGGAAAATGGAAACAACGGAGTACCTTAGCTTTCGTCTTTATTCAAGACATCTTCAGAGGCAACTGAAGTTGTCTTGAATAAAGACGAAAGCTAAGGTACTCCATTGTTTCCATTTTCCCGTGTGATTTTATCAAAATATATATATATATATATATATATATATATATATATATATATATATATATATATATATATATATATATATATATATATATATATTTATATTTATATATATTTATATATATATATATTTATATATATATATATTTATATATATATATATATTTATATATTTATATATATATATTTATATATTTATATATATATATATATTTATATATATATTTATATATTATATATATATTTATATAGATATATATATATCTATATATATATATATATATATATATATATATATATATATATATATATATATATATATATATATATATATATATATATATATATATATATATATATATATATATATATATATATATATATATATATACAGTCAACCCTCACTTTACGCGGTTAATGTAACCCACAGGGTACCGCGGAAAGTGAGAAACGCGTAAAGTGAATAACATAATATATGGGATTAAATGAAATAGAGACCAGCTGACCCCCAAACTCCACTTTTTCCAACACAATACCTTTGTTCTAGTAAAAATAACATCTTAATTTTATGATGGTACATGCACACAATTAATACTTAAGAGAAATAGAGAAATACAGTCGCCAAGTTAATGTCCATTCAAATAATGGACGACTCCCTCCCCCTCTTCTCACACTACACTGCTGGCTCTTCCCTCTGAGAAATTTTTGGGGGAAAACCAGGTATAGTAATAAATAATACCTCAAACTAAAGTTAGGATAATATAATTGACATTGCTGGATTGCTTGTAAGACCAGGAATATTTTGAATATAAATGTCATATATTTTTCACAAAAGATAACATATTTACTCAGATTAAACATTTCATCTAAAATTTGTATGTCTAATGCAAAATATATGATGTTTATATTCAAAATGATCACCAAATTGTAAGAATTCCAGCAATGCAAATTATATTCTGGCCGGGTAATTTGTATGAATTTTATGAGCTAAAACAAATATCTTCAGTTAATAAAAAAAAAAATATTCTTCACGACACTATCTGTCAATCAAAGTACCCCACCTTGCCTCCCCCCCTCTTCCAACCGCGCGGTCAGTCCCAACCCTCCCCCCCACCCCCCACCAATCCTCCCTTCAAGAGAAAGGTTGGGTGAAAAAAATAAATTTTAACATTTTGTATTAAATAATACCTCAGATTAAAGTTAGGATAATATAATTGACATTGCTGGATTCCTTGTAAGACCAGGAATATTTTGAATATAAACGTCATATATTTTGCACAAAAGATAACATACTTACTCAGAGTGAACATTTTATCTAAAAATTTTATGTCTAATGCAAAATATATGATGTTTATATTCAAAATGATCATCAAATTGTAAGAATTCCAGCAATGTAAATTATATTCTGGCCGGGTAATTTGTATGAATTTTATGAGCTAAAATAAAAATCTTCAGTTAATAAAAAAAAAAATATTCTTCACACGGTAACAGATGGTCGGTCGCCGGTCCCTCCCTCCCACCCCCCACCAACGTCCCTACTAGATAAATGTGTGGGAATACCAGACTGTTTACCTTTTTAGTAATAAATAATAAATCAGACTAAAGTTAGGATAATATAATTGACATTGCTGGATTCCTTGTAAGACCAGGAATATTTTGAATATAAATATCATATATTTTGCACAAAAGATAACATATTTACTCAAGAGTAAACATTATATCTAAAATTTGTATGTCTAATGCAAAATCTATGATGTTTATATTCAAAATGATCATCAAATTGTAAGAATTCCAGCAATGTAAATTATATTCTGGCCGGATAATTTGTATGAATTTTATGAGCTAAATTAAAAAAAATTATACTTCACCCGTGTAAAGGGGTACACCCACCGCGGAATGTGAGCATCCTGGGTTCTGGCAGGGCACCGCGTAAACGTGGAAACGCGGAATGTGGGACCGCGTAAAGTGAGGGTTGACTGTATATATATATGTATATATATATATATATATATATATATATATATATATATATATATATATATATATATATATATATATATATATATATATATATATATATATATATATATATATATATATATATATATACACCTAGACCCCGACTTACGACTACGTGGACTTACGACCGCCTGAGATATAGATTAAAAAAAAAGAAAAAAAATTTTAAATGACACACGCATTTTCTATACCGAAACGTTTCCAGTTAATGTAGTTTCCATGTATAATTAGAAAATTATGGGGGCCCCATGTGCATTCAGCTGACTACATTAATGGTTAAGTGCTCAGTCACACTGTATCCATTCCTTATTATTAATTACTTTCACTGTACTGTATCCATTCATCATTATTCATTACTTTTACTGTACTGTATTTCATTGTAGATTTTTTATTAAAAAAAAATTTTTTTTTTTTTTTTTTTTTTTTTCATCTATGTCGGACTTACGACCATGTTGGACTTACGACCTGGATTTGAGTCCCTAACCCCGTCGTAAGTCGGGGTCTAGGTGTATATATATATATATACTGTATATATAATTTTTTTATCCTCAGGCCAAGGAAGAAGAAAGGACTAATGATGAAGATGAAAATATGAAGGAGGATATGGATGAAGAGGAGGAGGAAGTTAACAATGATGCTGGTAATGAATAAGAATATAATATACTGTGCACTAGGATTTATTTATGTCACAGACTTATAAACTATATTTTTTATTACAGTTACAGGCAGTGTATTACAACAAACTTTGTACTCTGTCATTTCATGCCACGTGATCCTTCAAATTGGACCAGAACTTTCAAAATAAATTTTTAAATAATTTGTTTTAGATTGTAATTAAGTGAGTGCCAGCAAAATATTATGGTTTCTGTTCAAAGAATGTTCTTCAGATAAGGACTGAACTTTGGTGCAGTTAAATATTCTTGAGTGGTCAGTTTGATTCTCAAGAGGCATAAGAGACTGTGCTGAAGCATGTGAGGATAGTACAAGAAAATAAATTTTCATAGCAATTAGATTGTCATATTACCGAGGAGATATAATACATGGCAGGTAAGTAATTCTATTTAGCAGCTGCATAATCATACAAGTTTTGTATGACTTGTATTACGTTTAGGATGTTTTACCCTCACCTCAGTTTCGATGACCTTTACAACAGAAACTCCTTTACAGATGATACGTTAACATTCGTGTCATAGTTTGTTAGTTATTACTGGATATTTATGGCATCTTCATGGGGTTTATCTTATCTCAGTGTTTCTTTTGTGTTGTTGTCAACAGTGCCCAAACCTGGCTAAAAGATTTTCATACCTGAGACATTAGTTGTATTGGCACCACACAGTGAGATAATATTCACTGAACAAATTTGTATGTGTTGGACAATAACACAGCAGACTATCTTGAAGATCTTTGTTAAACGAGACTAATGTGCTTGGATGTTCTGTGTTCACACAAGAGGCCTGTATGGTGGGAAGTATTGGTTAAAAATGCACTATTTCACTTTGCCATCATGGAAAATTTATGTATATCAGTTTTTGCAACCATTTGATTTAAATATATCTAGCATTGCACCATCTTCAAGATGGAACCTGTGTCCTCCTCCTCCCCTCCCCTTTCCACTTATCTTATGCCCCTTGAAACCCAATGCCTCCTCTTGCATCTTCTCCCCAACCCGTAAGTCCCTCCTCCCCTTTTGTTTTATTACGTTGCCAAGAGACTCCCTGTTGCAAGACCTTTCCCAGTGAGATGTATATAACTTTTGTGAAATAGATTTGCAGTTTATCTGGAACCAATATATATATACATACATACAACTTTGCTTTGTAATTCTAGATTAACTGCTTTATCAACATCTAAGGTCATAAACTTTATAAGAAAAAAAAAAGATTAGCATTTCTGATTGACCATTTGAATACTTTGTACCACTGGAAAGAAACCAGGCCTATGTAAAAGATTATTAACCCAGAATATCATGTTAGTTTTTTATATTGTTTAGGTTTAAGCTGGTCTCTACAATGCCACCATTGTTCCTGAAATAAAGAATCTCTTACATAATACTGTGCTTCACTGTCAAAATATTCAGTGAGGTATTTTTCTGGCTCTTGAATAATTAATTTGTGAAATGGGGTGGTATCCATAGTTTATGATACTGTATTTACATGGATATAATAGGTGCTCTATGGGTTGGTCACTAGTGTTCTGGATTTCTTGGCCCACAAGAAATGGATTCAGTCTCATGCCAGGCAAGGTTGGCTGGCATTATTCCGCATGCTTTGCACTGAGCTGGTCACCAGCCAAATTGGTGGATTGGACTAAGCTAACCCTTTACACTTTGGGCTGCCACCTCACAGGTTTTGGAAGATAATGTAATTTTTTTTAATGTAATATCCTACTTCATGTCATCCTCATCACTAACTTTTAGGTTCAGTCTTTTTCAGTATTTCTAATATATTCTATCTTGTACTATATTTATTATCACTGCATATTTTTCATAATTTTTTAAATTCTTGATTTACATGTTACTGTTTTTAACTTAGCAATGTTGTTTATATACATACTTCAGCCAAAGAATTTTGGGTGCATCTAGTGCTACCCTTGTTGATTACTGGTACGTAATATGAAATGTTGTTTCTGTTCAGTAACTTGGAACATTAAATTCAGTATTAAGTTTCATTTCATGAATATCTAGATAATCAGCATTACCATGGTTATTTAGCAGTAATAGCCTTTGTTCTATATTGGTGGAGGCACACATCACCATGTCTAATTTTTTGTTGATTCCATGAATGCATCTTTTTCTTTATTTTTGCATTAAATTATACTCTTTTTTTTTAAGTTAGTGCTGACAGGCAAATAATATGTGACTGGCATAACGCCAGTTGTGTTCACATAGTTGACAAATCTGAATTTCTATGATATAAATATTAAAAAGAAATACTATATGCTTCAGCCTTTTATTCTTTGTTAACTTCATTTTCTCACATTTTCCAAGCCAACTCCCTGATTTTTTAACAGTGGCAGAGCCACTGGTATAATGTATGCATCTGTGTTTTTGTTTTTGTTTTTTTTAATAAGCTCTGGTTAGTTTCTCCTGTCATCCAATGAGTGGAAGAAGCTACTTTACACTGGCCAACATTTGATCACACCTTGAATGTGAAGACACTTTGTCTGTATATGATGTACCTGACAAGTCAGAATATTTCCCTTTTACTCACTAGTCTGTTGGAGAACTGGGACCTGAGAGAAATGCCTCAGCCACTTGTGAATTTTCCTCTTTTTTTTCCACTAAGTGAAATGTATCTCATCCCAAAGTTTTTTTTTTTTCTAATAGCCTTTTTCCAGTCTAATTCTATACAATTTAGACCCACTTAGCCATTGTTTAATGCATTCCAGTTTATTACCTGTGATCCTAAGAGCTTGGAATTTTCAGAAGTACAGTACCCTTGCATGTGGGACTTCGATAAATGTTGAGAAATCTGTGTACATTTCACGGAAAACTCAAGTACATGTAGTCTGTCACCTTTTCTAGGGATACTGTATAATCAGATTTTTAAAATAATACTTAGTCTCCATGCTGTGATGCCACAGTTAGTTCGTGCTCTTTCAAGTGATGAATGATAGTACCTCTCAAAACTCTCTTGAAGAGCTTGCAGATAAGTAAGGTTAGATTGGTCAATTTGTGGGTTTTTTTTTTTTGGCAGCATTCATATTAACCTTAAGGAATATCAAGGTGATATGGAATGATTTTCAGTCCCTTGTGACTTTCCGTTTACCTAGAGATTTTCTGATATGTAGTCTTAGTAAATCTTATTTGCTATCTCTTACTCCTGTGGACTGTACTGCATTCACTCTTGGGGTTTTTAGTTTCTATAAAGTGGCTAACTGCCACTTATTGATTTCATCTGTAATTGGCAAACCTGCTAATTCTATTCCACTCCTGATTTATACATTTGTGTGAACTTTGATGTAAAGTACACTACTATATCCATTGAGGGTATTTGCAGTTTCTTTCTCATCTGCTATAACATGGTCAAGTCTGTCCAAAAGAGGGCTTACAGTATATCTTCATTTTGTTCTCATATATGTTAAGAAATTTAGGGTCTATTTTATTATTTTCAACCAGCTTCCTCTTAACTCTCAGGGTCCTGGCCACTTACCCTGTCACAAGATATTCACAATGTCTGGTCTAGCAGAGTGTGCCACTGTCTAGTGTCTGACGAGTATGAACTTAAATCATACTCAAAGCCTACGCAGTTATAAGTCCAATTTTTGCACTACATCATATGGAAAAAGGCATATGAAATTCTTGAATGGGTATGTAAATTTCCTGAGAGTTGGGTGTTTTCTCACTATAGTACTTGAATTTCTTGAATGGCCACAGTCAAGGCTTTTTCATGAACTGCATAGATAAGTATTCCTTGGTGCTTTGGTATTTCTATCACAGTGGTAAGCAGAGAATTGAGTTTTTTAAATGTAATTACCACTTTTGATTTTCAATGGGTGAATTAATGAAAAGACGAACACTGGGGCGACGAACAGTGAGGACTGCCTGTACTTTGCATCATCTCGTATACTCACTGTAGAGGAAAACCATAAAGATATTTGGCAGTTATAGGCCTGTTAGAATTTTGCTTTTATCAATACAGGGTATCTGTTAATTATGGTTTTCTACTTTAAAATTAGGTTTATTGGAGGTTTTCTGGAATGACAGTACAGGTTGTACCTCTCTAGTCCGGCAACCTCGGGACCTGACCGGTGCCGGGCCATGGAAATTTCCGAACCATGGAAATTCACCCTTTTCCTGGATAGATAGTGACTTGTGCTTATGCTTGGAAGCACTAGCACCACTTTCACTGCTTCATGGTCTCTTTGAAGATATATTGAAGGGTTAAATGATGTCCAGTAGGTTCTCAAATTTTGGGAGTTTTTAATTCAATGTTTTTTATTTGGACACCAAAAAAAAACACTACGCAATTTAAAATTTTGATGGCGGAAACTTGAATTTTGACGGGTTCGAGCGGCCCGCCAATGTTCAGACGTGCACAAATCGTGTAAACAGTGTCATTTCTCTTATGTACAAAAGATTCATTATTGTTTATTACTGAATGTCTTTTATTTAATTAATTTTTATGTGTGCAAAATGAACAATACAATTCATTAATAATTTGTATAATATTAAAACACACGAGGAAACGAGACGGGATTGTTTTTGTTGATTACAAAACCAGTGACTGACTGGATCTACATATAAAACTGAAGGAAATAAGACCCTGGTTGTAGCTGTTGTAAAATTAATGTAAAAAATTAATATGGTTGTTTTAAGTAATGTTATTTAATGTTAATAAATGGAACAATATAAGTAGCTAACCATTAATGGTAAAGGAAAAAGTGAGCTCAAGTATGTAAGTGTGCACATGTGAAAACATATCGTCATTACTCTACATAAGAATATGAAAGCAACACTTATTTACTGTTCATATATATTTTAATTAATGTTTCTGAATTTAAAAAAAAATTCTACCCACCAGTGGTGGTAAAGTTGAAAACATAAGGACAGCCAATGTTGTTGTGTGTGTTTTTACTATAATGACGTATGCTCAACTCTATCTGAAGTTGTAGAACATAAGAATTTGTCTGTGTTGTTTTTAGTTTTTATTTAATTTTATGTGTTATTCTCGTTGGTTTATTAGGATGTTGCTTTATTACCGGTAGTAATTCGCCAAAATAGTAGGGTAAATAAGGCAAAATTTTGCCAAACATCGAAAGTACCAGACTCAAAATTAATTTTCTCCATGGGCAAACTAAAATCGTTCCAGACCACGGGAGTTTCCGGACCACAGAATGCCGGACTAGAAAGGTACAACCTGTATAAAGTTTTGCACTAGTGAATTTATTCCAAGATCTTCCATGAATTTGTCATATATCCAGCTAAATATTTTTGCTTATTTTTTATTGAAGATGGGAATAATTTTTTAAATATGTAAATTTGTCTATTAGATAGTTTCTAGCATTTAGTTGGTTTTTGTTTAAATTAGGTCTAAAAACCTATATTAGACCTCTAAAATAATTGGAGTGGTTGGTATGAAAACTGCTACACTGCACACCTTATCTAAATGTTCAAGAGATGTTAATCTGTCTAAAATTAGCAGCTATGATTTTTTTCATCTTAAATTTGATAATTTCTAATGTAAAACTAATACACATGTTATGGATGGCAGTTTGAATTATTGCATTTATGATGGATGCATCCTAGTCTTCCTCCAGGATATGAAGACATGACCACATGGGAAGTTATAATGGGTCACAAGCTTAGTGTCCTGAATCTTACAACAGTGACAAAGGCAGCTCAGTTTGCATGTGCTAAGTTTTGAAGACAAGTTAGTGTCTCAGTTAATCGATATTATTGGATATTAGAGTTCAGATATTTTCTGAGATATTGTGAATTGAGTTTGTGTGGAATGATTGTACTCTGATTGTAAGTCCTAAACCAATACAGTAGTGTTAGGAATATATTGTTAACTGATGTTGTAATTATTACATTTTGAAATATTTAAACTTATTCAAGGACGTGAAATAAAGTATTTAACTCTTACAGTAGTGTACTAGTGATCCGTATAGATGCTGAAAACTACATTGATGTAATCCTATCTTCTGGAGACCATCATTGCTGTGTTTTCCCCAGAACGGTTATTTAACTAGAATCTGTCCAAACACATCAGGCTGTTTTTGTTTTCATAGAGTAATGGAGGAGATCTTAGTGATGTTAACCATGTTTTTCGATACTGTAATAAATTTTTCTAGCTTGAGTGACAAATAAAGAAATGCTGCTGCAGGACAGATGGGCCCCAGTTCTCATAGGTCAGAACCTAACCACCATTCCAAATATAGGTTATGGTGAGTCATATTAGTTAGGTAGTAGGCAACTACCAAACAGGGAGGTACTACCACCTGGGAAGATATTGGAAGTATAATGTGTTGTGTAATGGTAGACCCTGCTGCCATATGGCATCACAAAAATTGTGACCAAGTCCCAGGTTGCTGATCTGACTTTCTGCCTCATTTACACACAATTGCAGGGTCTCAATTGTTTCTCTTACTAATGACAACACAACATACTTACGTATACTGTATTCTCACTTTTGATCTTTTTTTATTTTTTTTTATTTCTTTATGGTTCTTTATTATTATTATTATTTTTTATTAATACTACAGTATTATTATTATAAATTTTATTTACTATGAATTATTATACATTTTCGCCCGCCAGGCCCTGATGTGGGCCAGTGACCTGTGCCCGGGTGGGCATATCCCCGTAAAAAAAAAAAAAAACTACCAAGAAGCTCCAGGTAATCCAGGACTAGAATCCCGATTATTTTTATTCTTTATGGTAAAGCAATTGTACAGGGGGTCCTCAAATTCCGGGTTAAGGTTCTCAAAATGGCCGCAAATCCGTGAATAACATTTGCTGATGGGGGGGGGGGTGGGGGTGTTACATTTTAACTGTGTACAAGCAAATGTATATTCTCTGTATGTGTTTTCCCTTAGGACAATTATTTTTTACCTGTATTGTAAAAATGTGTGTGTTCACACACAAAATGCATACAAGTAAATAATAATGGGAAATACTCTCACAAATAATCAGAAACAAATATATTAAAAATATGACAGTCTACCCTCAAGTCCGTGCTTTATTAATAAAGCACGGACTTGAGGATAAACTCACATTTTTAATAAATATGTTTGATTGTATTTTGTGTGTGTGTAGACAGACACACACACACATTTACAATACAGATAAAGGAAATTACTGTCTCTAGAATGAATGGCTCCCTGCCCCAGCTGTGAAAATGCCGGCAACTTTAAAACTACCCACAGACATTCTTATGGTACATCCAAAGTGTCATCCGCGAATAATAGAGGACCGCGAATTTGGGGGGCCCCCAT